GAAGAGGGTGCTATGGTGAACCCCATCTTATGTGCATGGTTAGAGCCAATTCAGGTATGTAACCTTTGACCAAGCAGGTTGCCAATCTCTTCTGGAAATAGCTATCATTGCTGCTAGGATCAGGAGAGTATTTCTTCCCCAAATGAAATTTGGTGAGCTTTAAGCAGCTCAGTGGGGCTGGTCCATCTTGGCTACGGGGTCACTTTGTGCTCCTACACGTTCTCATCTAGCCCATAGCTGTGCTAAGAGGCTTTGCTGGAACAAGTGCTCCCTCTGTACCCACCTCCCCTTCCCTCTCCAGCAGAAAACAAGGGAAGAACTCTCATTCTTTACAAACAAGTCATTGAGAAGCAGACTGCCCCAGCAATTGCTTGCGTTACCTTTTCTAAGAAGCTGTCTTCTCCCTGAGAGCAGTGGGAAAGAGAGAAGAGGAAAAAGTATGGTTAAGAGAGAGAATGCACTCAGATTAAGCAGAAACCTAATTTGCATTACAAGAACCCATTGAATGCCAGGTCCTTCACACATTTTGCTGACATGGCCAAACTTAAACCTGCGGTGAGAGATTTGCCTGCCAATTAGCAAAAATCCTGCTCACATGATGCGCAACCTTGTCAGGATTTCTACGAACTCCTCAAAGGGGCCTTGCAGCACCACCATTCACTATCTAGCAAACAGTCAGGCCACAGGCAGATGAGAGGTGTCCGCCAGGAAGTAGTTCCCCTTCTTGAATCTTCCTGGTCAGAAATAAATATCCCTGTATTATTTCAGCCATCTTCCCTTGTGACCAGGCCAGAGATAAAACATTCACTAGGCTAAATCTGTATTTCTGAGTGTGTGGCAGCTGCGGAGCTAACAGGCCCCCTAAGCAGCTTTGTGTATAGTCAGGGAAACGAGTGTTTGTGCTCAAAACCCCAGGCTGCTCGTCTGTCTCAACCTAATAGCATTAACACACTGCAAGGAGGAGCATGCCAAAGCCCCCTCCAGGCCGCATGTCCAATCCCTCAGGCGATCCTGAAACACAGCATTCGCTCACCAGCGCAGTGCAGGCTGGCAGCATAAGACACTGTTTAGTGGAGTCCGCAGGAGGAAACAAGCAGGTTGCCCAAGGTTGGCAGATCGACCTTTCAGGGTGGGAGCAACCAAAACGCATTCAAGGGCTGAGCTGGAAACATAGCTGCAGCCGCCATGGCACAGGGCATGCCTGGGAGGGAGCAGCATCTCGGGCTCCCCTGAGACTTCTGCAGTGCCTGCTTCCTTTGGAGGCTCACTGAGTTTTAACACAGCCTCAACAGACCGGCCTCTTGCAGAGAACAGCTTGCTCCAAACACGAGCTGGCGCAGGTTCTTCTTCCAAGGCACAGGGGGAGGGACCGCAGTCGCAGGTTTGGGACGCCAGATAGCCACGCTGCACAGGAGAGAGGCTCGTTTCGTAACTGGGTGAGTCATCTCAACAGTCTCACTACCACCTACCTGACTGCTTGCCCTGCTGTTCACCTCTCTTCCTGTAGTGTTCAGCACGATTAGCTCCGTGAGACTAACCTGCTCCTGAAAAAGATGCTTCAAGAGGCTTTTTAAAGTCCACAGCAGGATCTCAAGAAAAAAATAGGATGAGACACTAATACCGAAATCCCAAAGGCGAGATGCTCAAGTGTCAGCAGCTTCTCCCAGGAGAACTAGGAGTGCCATTTCCAAATAAGCTCCCACCCACACTTTGCTATCCTGCATTAAGCTACCTCTCAGACCCTTACTGACCTGCATTCTCCAGATCTCCCTCTGCCGAAGACAACAGAGACAGTCTAGCCAGGCTGAGAAAAATGCTTGATGCAGTGAATGACAAGCCCTAACACTACGTAAGTGCAGGAGGGAAAATGGTTCTTAATACACAAACACACTGCCTTCTTTGCACACAGTCTAAACATCAGCTAAATACATATAACTGGACCAAAACGCTTCTGGGCTGCAGAGGGGTTAGCACGTGCACCAATCTCCCTTGCAGAAAGTGCTCAACTTGTCCTGTCTCCAAGAATTTCTCAACTCACAGGTATGATCAAAACCAACAGACCTAAAATAGCTCTAACATGACAGTAGCTTTATAATCTAAGTGACTAAATTTTGCTTTCGGCCGTTACACATCGTATTCCTTGAGCTTGCTTAACATGTTCCAATTGAAGTACTGCAGTCACACTGACCTCACTGACACAAGAGACTGTTTCTTTGCTGCAGATACTGGGACAGGGTGGTCTTCTCGGATTGATTTGCTTCCTGCACTTCTATATGTTTCATTGAATAACAGAAGAAGGAAACCTGCAGGTAAAGGAAGCAGAAGAAGCCTCAAAGTAGACTTAGAAAAGTAATAGTGTGTGTCTGTGAGGGCAGAAGCTAAGAGTCTAGGCCTGAGTTCCTATCTATCAAGCAAGAACTCAGTGCTGAGCACTGAGCAGGAAAAAGCAGGTGGAAAAGCCACCAAGACTGATGAAACACTCCAGACCAAGTTCAACACATTTCTAGAACAAGCCTGACTTTCAGTCGAATCCTGAAAAGTATGAGGAGCTGGAGGCCTGGATTAGCTGCTTGAAGTGAGGAGGCAAACACTGTATCTTGCCACCTGAATTCTGCTTAGCCTGATCTTGTGATTACAAAATCAGAATTCTGGTACAAAAACGGCCTTTCTGTATGTTGGGCCTGTGAGAAAAGTAAACAAAAGGTGGGAACTGGAAGAGGCAGCAAGAGGCATGGTGCAACTGCTAAAGGGAAGAGAAAGAAGTGTAGCAGATGGGAGTAGAAGCTGTCAAATCTACAGATGTGAAAAAGCACCAGCTCACTGGACAAAAAAAAATGCATGTAAAGATGAGACTGCAAGATATGAGAAGAGAGGAAAGGTATCACATGTCAGAGAGACTGGAAGAACTGGGCTAATCTTTCAGGTGAACAAAAAAGAAATGGCTTTCTTGGCTAAACAAGAATGGGTAAATAGACTAAAACTCAGGAACTGCTAAATCTCACTGAAGCAAGGCAGGAAAGGCCATCAGAAGAGAAGAATGAACGCGAGCTGAAAACAAGAATTAACATCCCAAAATGGGGCTTAATCTCAGAAACAGCCATGAGATACCAAAAAGACAAAAGGTGACTAGGGCACAATTGCACCCCCTCACGCACACACAAGTGGCTTCAGAAGGATGAATATTGATGCTAGGGGCCGGTGAAGCTTGGGGAGAGGAACAGTTATCTCTGCATTGCAGTGTGAGAGGAACTGGACAGAGAGGCCGCGAGACTGGCCATTTGCTGAGCTGTACTCATCAGTACATCTGACAGCATCAAGGTCCTCCTTCAGGTCCTCCTGCTTCTGCTTGTTCCTTCCCCTGAGCAGTGTGAATGCCACAAACGTCCAGAAGGAAAAGGGTCCTGGAGCCCTTGTCACTGCAGAAGAAGCCTAGGCACCTCAGAGGAGAGCACTTCAATCATACCTCTTATGACACACCAGTGCCACCCAGCTGAGCCTGCCAGCACCAACATGACAATAACACAAAACACAAGGTGCTGGGATCACTTTTGTCCCACCAAACAAAATTTAGAACCTACTCAGAAATAGGGGATAAAGTACAGGCTGTCAAAAGCCATTGGTTGTGGTGGAGGGAAATAACAAAAGAGCACCTCAAGCTCTGGAAAAAGTACATCAGCTCAGAGCCAGCTGAGCCGACCCAAACTGAAGGCATTACTCTTGCTTTTAGGAGTAAACGGAAGGGAATATGCTCTCTCTCTGTTAAGAGAGCTGCTCCAGAACACTGCTACTCACCAGGTCAATGAGTTTGGTCACTGGAACTTCTCGGATCGGTCGCCTCATTCGGCATAAGGCCTCCAGGGAGGTGCCAAAGCAGCTGGGCAGGTAGGTCCCACTGATGGTAAGGAAATAGTCCTTCCCTCGGTCCAAGTGAAGGACAAGAATATCCTCAATTTTATCCTCGCCGGAGTTCAGAAGAGTTACTGAGTCCTTACTGACATACACGTCCAGGGAGATGTCCGTGCTCTCATCTGCAACAGACAGGAGCAGTCAAGAACACACAGACACTCTCCAAAAGGGATGACAAGGACAAACATACAGTGGCAGGGACAAAGGCCACAAAACTGAGAAGGCAAACAGACAAGGATGATGGCAAGAAAGGTGACATGCAGGAAAGATGGGAAGGACTGAATGGAGATGGGGTAGCAGTCTACACCAGTACACACTGTAGAAACCGTGGTAAAATTCACCTGGCTCCAAGTAACCTTCACAAGGCTCAGCCCGAAGCCATGGCTTACAGTAGTGGCTATCGTTGAGCTTTGGGATGAAGGAGAAGTGACAGGTGACCTGCCCGTTATTGGTGATCTGGAACTTCTGCTTCTGCAGCTGACGGAACTTCACGTTCTTAAACTCAAACTGCAGAGCAAAGAGAAAACACAAATCATGTTAGTGGCCACGATGGGACACACCGCTAGGCATCCAGACTCTGCAGTGGCAACCCATGACTGAGAAGTGCCCACGCAATGCAAAACTCCTAACAGAAGACCTGTCAAGAAGCCAAGACAAGATGTCCCTTCTAATCCAATTCCTGATCATAAGACAATGGGTAAAGTTCAATTTCCTATAATGCAGTTTATTGAATCAAAGTCTTTAAAAGTAGTTCTAGCACTTCTAAGGCTGCTGTGTTTGGGAAGGGGACAGCGATTCAGGTTTTATCCTCACATCTCTCCTGCTTAGCTCCAGCGAAGGGAGAAAGTCATTCTCCATTCTGTCCATTATACGAACGATGTCTTCAAACAACTTCCGATACCTCTGCTCATCCACAACCTTTACCTGTGGAAGATCAGAAAACATTCAGCAAAGTTTCTGACCAGTTTCACAGGAACTCTTTCAATCATGAGTAAACTGCAAAAGTGAAGTATTTCTCTAAGCACTCTCTATGTGCAGCTGAAAGGCTAAGAGAATTTGCATGCATGGGTGCATCCCCAAGCTGCATATGCAACTTTGAGCATATTTTACCCCTACAGATGTTACTAGGGTCTTTCTGGTCACTGATCACACTACTGGGAGATTATTGGGGGTGATCTCTGTGGGACAGCATTGGCATCCCACAGCATTACTCATGATTCTCCAGAGGAAGAGGAGAAAGGCTCTCCTTTAAGGAGACTTGAGCTACCTAGGGAGCAGGAGGTAGCAAAAACGGACATGGACTGTCTCTATTCAGTAAGCTAGGAACCCAAATCTGCTGTCAGCCATTTGCCACCAAAGAAATTCAGATGTGAGCCAGTGACACACTCTCTTAACACGTCAGAGGCAACACTGCAACAGCAGGCACAACTATTTACAGGTTTCCGCTGTGTGTCCTTGTGGAGGAGAGAAAACAGTAGCTCACCCATTCTAGTACTAGATATCACGGGTTATACCCCAGAAGCTAAGCAGCATCATTAAAGCAGTCAATGGGAATGCCTTTCTACTTATTACATGACCACACCTGCTCGGGTAAACTCCAGCGATCACCTGCATTACTGTGGCGTAACACTGTCCCAGTGCTACGCAGCTAAGCTGCATTGCACATGAAGACCAGAGCCGCTGAGCTGTTTGCTGAGCAGAGGCTGGCATGGCCGCCAAACAGCAGCACACCTACACAGTGGACACACCTTATTTTTACTTACTCTGTCGTCTTGCAACAGCATTAGCAGAGGTGCCTTGACTATATAAGCACCTTCTGAAGGAATGCATGACGATATTGTGACCCTACCCTAGCATATAAAAAAAAGTTTTACCCCGATGCGGAAAAGTGCGCTGACTGGCTTGTGGTCACTAGTCTTCAGGTCCATATGACTGCAATACCGGAGCTGATTTATGTTCCCTCCTCTCCAGAGGATTCGATCACACCACGCTGGCACACGACACTTTCCACTACAAAGAAAAACAGGTTACCAGGAAATCCAACAAACCTTATAAACCATCCAAGCTGTTCCACTTCCCAGCCAGGCAGCTCCCTCCACCCCCACTGTCAATGACTGCATCAGCAGTGATGGGATGAACTTCTATCACTTCCCTCAACTCGAATACTACGTTATTTCTTCTGCTCTCTTCCCCTTTCAAAAAAAACACCCTTCCCAGCATCAGAAAACAAAATAACCTCAAACAAGACTGTTTCCACAGCCTGAAGCCATGTGTACTGTGACCCAAGCTGCACTAGTTTCTTTTGCTGCCAGATCTTTCCACCCACTACAATTTGATCCATCGCTTATTGTTTCCACTACGGAAAGTCTACTCAGCTATTACTATGATGTTATGAAGTCTGAATCCTGGGTTATCCTTCTCCAGAAACAAAATAACCTCAAACAAGACTGTTTCCACAGCCTGAAGCCATGTGTACTGTGACCCAAGCTGCACTAGTTTCTTTTGCTGCCAGATCTTTCCACCCACTACAATTTGATCCATCGCTTATTGTTTCCACTACGGAAAGTCTACTCAGCTATTACTATGATGTTATGAAGTCTGAATCCTGGGTTATCCTTCTCCAGATTAACTACTGTGCTGATTTATAAACACAGGCAGAGTAAAATCCAAGCACTATATGGTTTGAAACTCCTTCTTGGGAGTTTCTCCATTTAGAGCAAGCTTCTGCGGCAGATGCATAAATGTGTGTGGGAGGCACCAAGCAGAGAGCAGCAAGCAGGAACCTCTGCTGCTATCATAGCATAGCCACTCCTGCGGGTGCGCCAGTCAGGGGACAGGATGACTCAGAGAGAGCGCTTCCTTATCTCTTCAATTCCTTTTGTACCGTTTGGCTGTCCCTGGTAGCAGAAAAACCCCTCCAGTGCAGGGCCACCTGTGAGTTCACGCTTTACCTGCCTTCACCTATTGGAATCAGCAGCAACCGAGGTTTAAGGCATGTGCCTGGTCAACGTATACAGGGTCTGCTTATTTCAGAAAGAAGGAGTACAAACTTGTCTGTGCACTCCAGCCATCACCATAACACAGCTCTAGGAAGCAGGAAATCAAGTTTTGTGAGAAAATGCTTTTTATGTCATAGGTAAATATGTCTATTGGCAGCCAATTTACCTGGAGTCCCAGCGATCTGTTTTAGAGTCATATTTATATGTGGGGATGAATTTAATCTCTCCCTCGATAAAATCTGCAAATGCTTTCTTCTGAGTGCGCTGAATATTCAGCTAAAGCAGAAAAAGAACACTTTTTAAAAAAAAACCAGAAACAACAAACCACCCCAAACACCCCCACACGCAGAGAGCACAGTGTCAGAGAGCAGATCTATAGGCAGAGCAATTGCAACCTGTCGCCACAGGATTCACCAGACATCCCCCAAAATGCCTCTCAGACCTTATACCTTTAACAAACGTAAAAATTCAACACATCAGTGGAATGTTTTCTAAACAGACTGAATACAAATTGGCACAGCGCTGCTTACCAGACCATGCAGACAGCATAAAACAATAGTTAAGGGAAATATTAATTGCTGCACTTGTGCTAAATGCCTTCATTAGTTTTCAGGCTTAAGCATCATCATCATTAATATTTCACTGCCAATCATTTTAGCAAAAGCCTCCAGGAGTGCGCTTGGCTGACAACCTGACACTATACTTTCCTTTTCTCATTTACTCTTCTGAAAAATTTCCTAATTGTTTTCTTCACAAAAATCTAAGCTACAGTTGTTTTCTGCACGAAGCTCTGCAGTACAGCAGAAATGAGCTACAGAACAGAATCAATCAGATTTACTGTTAAATTGTGTGTCAGAGATGATATTACACTATTTCTGTTCATGTTTCACAGGTACAACCCTTCATCTTAAAGGCACATCTGGTGCTGTCTCGGTTTTCAGTGTGCTGCAAAGAAATGCTGCGCAGGGAAGACCACAGCACAGAATTTAGGTCAAAGTGGCTGAGCAGAGAGCCTTGGCTACAAGCGCTGGTCTCCAAATCAATACCTCTTCCAGAACACTGATTACAGCAGCTTTTGTTGCTGTTACAAATTCATGTGTTCTAGCTTGTAGTTTGTACGTAAGAGAGAACTCTTCCAATGAGATGCAAAGACACTGCTATGGTAATTGCCCGATTCATCCAGTTAACCCCGGTATAACCTACAATCCATTTTTGTTTAGCGGGTTGATGTCACCAGGACACCCAGGGCTCTGCCTAGGGTCTAGCGTCTATGTCTACAGACACTTATCGCAGAGTGTCTGCCAGCTCCTCCGAAGCACAGGCACATCTTAAACCAAGATGACCTCACAAGTACGGAGCAAACGTAAGCGGAGTTCACTGACCTGGTCGTATGTCAGCAATTTCTGAAGCTCATTCTTACTGATAAGACTTTTCACCTCACTGGCATCAGGGAGACAAAGCCTGTAGTTCAAGTCTCCCAGCCAGATGACAACACTGAAAACAAAGACAAACATGGAAAAGAAGAGCCAGTAGTTAGTATCACAGGCCAGACAGGGAAGAACGGGCATAGGAGAATAGACAGTTGGTTGCTGGTGATTAAGGTTGAGACATATGGAAGAGAAAAGGAGACATGAAAGATTGAGCCTGAGAGCAGAAATTTCCAGTGGCAGCAGATACTGCAGTACTAAGTCCATCTCCTTTGGAATACCACATGGGATTGAAGACTTAGCTTAATGGGAGATACTTGAGTTTGCCTCAGTCTGAAAGAAGCCTGAGAACACCACCAACTCTCTAATGAAGCGAAACCAGTGTATCTCAGCAAGCTTCATAACCTCTCAAGCTACACAAAATCCATCTAGTATTCAGGCTCTTCTTGTGTACAGAAGAGGGCAATGACAGAGCTCGTTAAGCAGACCCTGCTTGTCAACCAGTTAGGCAGGCTGATGCGCATGTATCTGCGTGCTCATACCTCATGTGATACCATGATTTTACCAGTTCATTTCCCACTGCCTTTCTTTCAACCAGATCAGGCCACTACTGCAAAGACTGACTGATGCAGAATTGGCAAAGGCAGATTTAGGTTCCTGTTGAGTTTATGACCTCCAGAATGTTACTGTCCTATCTCACCAATCAGCCATACCTCATCAGCACCGGCTTTTACTCTGCTCCTCTCTGGGCTTTCAAACAGACCCACAGCCTTCTCATTACCAGCAGCTAAAGAAACACTTGTGGTATTCACTCTTTACTCCATAAAAGTTTCATTTAAAGATTAAAATCTAAACCCCTCTCTAGTATCAAAGCTCTTCCTGTTTATAGTCAAACCTCAAAATTCCCATTAGTGGATTATCAAGGATAATCTAATATTTGAAGTTTTTTCTGTACTAACCCACTCTGCATTTTATATTCAGTTTTTAAATGGTTTAAATATTAACTACAGAAGTATTAATCATTTTAATCGGGTTTAAGAAACTTAATTTATATGCTTTGTTGTACACGTTTGAGTTTGATTTGGATTATTCAGCACCACTGTCACCTCATCAAAAATAATAATAATTTAAAAAAAAGAATCAAATATTGCCTGCGTATTATCCAATTCATTTAAAAAGAAACCTAAACAGCAATCATAAGCACTTGTTACTCGAAAAAGCCTAAAGAGCATAGCCTCTACCCATCCTGCTATCCCTTTTTTTCCCCTACTCATACTCCAATTTCCCATCACAAAAAAACCCCTCAGTTTCTTCAAGCCCTGTAACGTTCAGCCATTGACTCAGGAACGGTGTCTGCTGAAATGGAACTATTATACACAACATGCAAGGAAAGGGCTGTTAGACCCCCTCAGTTTCTTCAAGCCCTGTAATGTTCAGCCATTGACTCAGGAATGGTGTCTGCTGAAATGGAACTATTGTACACAACATGCAAGGAAAGGGCTGTTAGAGACAGGCTGCAGAAGTCACCGCAGTGAGAAGGTGACCACGTAGTTTGACTGCAGGAACTCTAGCACACCAGAGGCGCTGGCATTTTCAGTTACATTATTAAGCCAGAAAACTTATCTGCATGAAATCTCCTGTTGCTGTGATTCTGACTTGATTTGGATTATTCAACACCACTTCAAAAGGGACAACAGCAAAATAAACTTACTCGTGTTTCATGATGTTGAGCTGAGGTAGACTATCATCAGGGGTTACAAAACTCATCCGAGCACAGATATCCTTATAATCCTGATTTCGCCGCTCAAAGTCCTCCACGTGAGCAGCGAGGTGGGAATTGACAATGCAGAAGGTTGTGTTGTGGAACACGAACCTCACCGCCACACCACCCTTGTTGCCCTGGGGAGAGGAGGTATCAGCGGTTGTTAGAGAAGGCGGCAGGTGAGGCACCAGGGAGGAGACGGGGATGGCACAGACAGGTGAACAAAACCAGACTGTGCCGTTTCTTGCATGGATACACGGAAGCAACAAATTGGTCCCAGTGACTCACCATCTTTCCCATGATTCCCGTGCCCACAGACTCTGTCATGATCTCTCTGATATTGCTCAGCTGATCCTTCCTAGCAAATATGAGCAACATCATCCCAACTAGACGGACCATTTGCACCTGCAAAAATAAAAGGGATCCTGAGCTTCCAGAAAGGCAGTGGAAATGCAGTGCTGATTTGCCTGCTCTGCCTGATGTTCTGCTTCTCTGGCTCTCCCCATTCCTGACCATGTTTTGTACTCAGTCCCTGCTTGCAACACCACCCAAAGGACCTCCTGTCCCAAAGCAAGGTTCTGGAGGACAATCTATCCTTCCTCAATAGCCACCAGCTGTGCTGAGCTCACTCTGGTGCTTCCCTACAAACAGGGCTGTCTTGCGAGGTAACAGAAACTTAATGAACACGTAGCAGATCTGTTCGTGAAGTCTCAGCCTTTTACACTAAGTTGCGCTCGGTATTTGCAAGGATACCGAGTGCTCTAGTTAGGCATGTCGCAGAGAGCTGCTGGCTATGGCTGCTGCTGAGAGCTGGGAGTCGGTGCTCACCTTTGCTTACCCAGAACTACATCGGAGCCAGTGACATGCACTAGAGGGGAACGGGCACAAAAATTCTTATTTCCCGAGGCAAACGTGCCTGACACACAGGGTATCAAAAGGCAGCCATCTCTGAGCTATACAAACTTTCAGAAAACACTTGTTCTCTAATGCAAAGAGTCTCTTTCTGGAGCTATGAGATTCTCCCCTACTGCAGAGCTCAACCCCTAGGTGTTAATACAGTGTTGACATGCACTGTCCCAGCACGGATCTCAGGTCTGCCGCTGATTCTTTTACACATGCTTAGCCAATGCACTTCCCAGTCCATGACCTCCCTGTACTTTCAAAACAGTGGGGTCACAAGCCAGCGACAAGGCCTAATCTTCTTGAGCACAGTCTACATGCTCACTTTAGAGGCACAAAAACATTAAGATGTGTAATCACAGCAGGATTAAGTCTATGTAGTGAGGGAAGAAGCTGAAATCAGAGAATTCAACTGGAAGAGCCCAAGTACTCAGTCCACTCTGCAGGAGTGGCATTTGCATGCAACTGCAAGTCTTATCTACGGTTTCAGTCACTTCCCCCTGCCTGCAGCCACGTCCTGTTCTCTCCCTTTCACAAGGGTGGGAGAAATTCACCTAAAACCCAAGTAAAGCAAAGGGACAGGAACATAAGCCTCTCCGCAGTTCAGGTCATGACCCCTGGCTCCCTCTTGATGAATCTCAGTTCAGGAAGGTGCTCTATTTTCCTGCTGTGATTACCCATGCCACTGAGCTCAACTCAAAGCAAGCAGGACAGGGGTGTGACAGTGCACATTTGGGCTAAGGAGGAAGAGGAAACTAGTTAATATATTTAGGGCTGGTACCTACAGCAGAAAGGTTTGCTACAGCACAGATAAAAAACAATGGCTTGCTCTAAACCAGCCAGAATAAAGTCCTGCTGCCAGAACTGAAGCAATTCTGTCCCAAAGCAGCAGCCTCTGGAAGATTTTGCCTCATAAATTATCCCATTCCTTCAAGGAAAGGCTATTAGTTTAATTTACCAGCTCAAGACACACCTTGCTTTTATAGTAGAACAGTGAGAGGGTAACACAGATAAAGAATTTGAACACGCTGCTATGATTCTATTGAGCATCCTACTTCCCTGACACCTACCTCATATTTTATAAAGTTATTTTGATCCCCATCTTTATAAATTCCTACATCAAAGTACAATAGCCCCCTACAACTGTGGGGCAGAAACAGACTCTCCAGATTTAGTTTGGCATACTTGACACACGCACAGGTACACCCATGCCAAGTATATATCCTTGGTTTCTCCAATCACCGCTCTTTGGGTCAGGTGAGGAAAGGGGAAGCCCATTTCTCTTCCTTCCAATCACGCCAACTCTATGACAAGACCCCACAACACTGAACAGAACTCACTTTCTTATACTTCGCCTGAGGGTGCAGGGACTTCTCCACAGCAGCCAGCCATTCTTGCTCCTTTGCAGAATCGAGGTAGAAAAAAGCCTCTGTGCTGAGGTCCAGCTCCTGGAACCTGAAAAACCAAGCCAACTTAGCACATCCCACCTCTAGAATCATAGAATCATTAAGGTCGGAAAAGACCTGTAAGATCATCGAGTCCAACCGTCAATCCAACACCCCCATGCCCACTAAACCATGTCCCTAAGCGCCTCATCTACACGTCTTTTAAATACCTCCAGGGATGGTGACTCTACCACCTCCCCGGGCAGCCTGCCCCAGTGCTTGACAACCCTTTTGGTGAAG